ACACGGACCTTACTTTACTTTTGTAGCACGAGGAATACCGAAATAGAAGAAATGGAAAACATAGGATATTCATCCTTGGGTAGGTTGAAGTCAGCAATGTTCGTCAGATAGATTGTTTTGTTCACAAATATGATTGTTTCTACTTCGCCATAGCACCGTTATTGTATGTTCGTACTGATTTGTTACAGATCACGTCAACAGTCCAGCTCAGTACCCAAGCGATAAAGAGGCATCGGAAAAACAACATTACACGCAGTTGAAGATTTATGAAAATACAAACGGTAGATGGATACTTTGATATTCTATTTACTATAGCAGTTCTCAATTGATAAACTCAGGGAAGGTACTGAAAGATCATCGGTGTGCTATTCATCTTTTTGTTATGTTTAAAAGGATGTGTAACATTTGAATTTGTTCTTTGCAAATGTGTTACGAATCACATTTTCAGTCGAGCCCAGTACCTACGAAGGCATGACAGAAGCTCCTCCAGAGTCTATCAACGCATCTCCATATCAGAATAGCAGTGGTCAATCTCGATGTAACCATTATTCAGAATATTTATACCCCTGAAAAGAATTAAAAGCATGCATTATATATTGTATACCAGAAGTAATTTAAGTTTAAAAAACCTACCCTCTTGTGTCCTGGTGTACAACACGTTTACCCTGTCATCGTTTGACAACTTTGAAATTAGTTTCCGGGTCTTCATTCCATGTGATGCAGTTTCAGATCCTGACTATGGGAACAAGTAAACAAGAAGTAGATGTTGTTTATCATAAAATAAAACACTGCACCCATCATGGTTTCTTCTCCCTGCACTGCACTCCCTGTCGTCGTTTATTTCTTAAATAGCACAACATATTGTTATATCTCCAACACTTGCATTGGCTTTACGTGACTGACACAAATGTTATAGTACTAAATGTCTGTGACCCCTTTTCAAACTTTGTTTACAAAAAGTTGATACCTTACCTGTTTAGCAGATGAGCACATGCGAGGAGACTGACTATGAATGATCCCCAAAAGCAAAATTGTTGACCGTTTATAGCGCTCCTATTTAGTGCTTAAAACATTGTAAGAGTTCGCTTATAGCCTGTAATGAGATCCTGCCAGGTGAGTTAGCCTACCAAAATTAACATTTCAATCTCATACTTTCATATGACTACACCCTTCCATTTGTGCTTGTCCAGTGTGACCACTGGCTGATCTACAGGGATCAACCTCCTAAAGTCATTAAGACTGATACCGGCGATAATCGTCCACGATTATGAGCTATTGATCAGATTGCTTGTTATACAAACATGTCTGTGAGCCCTAGTTATGCTATTTCACACTCTGTGCGGTCCATAAACACACACACCTGACTGATCATTACGGCAATAGCAGCCAAGTGTGTTGTCGCGACTGTAAATTTACATAGTTCAATCATTTGAGCGTAAAACGTGTTGTTTCGTCGATATAACATATTTAAATGTCACAAAATGTGAAGTAAAGGCAACTACATAATGAATGACAAAGTTTGCCATTAGCTTTGATCGTCCAAATAATATAGTGGTCTATATGTTAGTTCGGTGTTTTGGTGTGGAGGTCTAAAGTGATATGGCTGGCTGTTGACATTTTATACATGTTGTATCCATTCTCGTTGTGCCTTACTTATAAGGACACATAGACATGGCTTAACGTTGTATATGATTCAGTATCGCATTTGATTACATATTTTGCTTACTAAAGGTTATAAAGAGGCACCTTCATTGCCTTGTTTGTTTTGGATCCAATACTTACAGGAAATAAACTGTGATTCACAATAAATAAATAGTGTTTAATTGATGTTTGCCATTCACTTTTGTAGTGAATTAAAGTAAAAGGTTCATAAAAGATCCTTGTACGTATACGAGTATCTCATAAGCATATGTAAAGAAATCACTATCAAATAGTGATAATACCAGGTGCTCGACAAAAGGTAGGTCTATCCTTCCATGCTGGTGGCAGTGAAAGGAAATAATTCACTTTTAATTTCATGAATATACACTTTATTTCATGTTGAATGTATCAATTTCTGCTGCACCGCTTCATTGTGATGATAGATTTATCTAAAATATGTCGTCAGTCTGTTGCGCTGTTATACACTCCAGTGGACACACTTTGATATGTGAATCAATCTAGAAACACCATGCCGAATATTCGTTCACAACCGCAAATAAACTACTGAATCCACAAGGTTTCAAAATGTCAGTGTGATCATCCCATACTTGTGGGCATTAGGGTTTCCAAATTGATTTGTTAACCCCAGTTCAGCAAGAAACGCTTAAAATAATGTCCAGGCAACCAACCACGTTTAAGGATCGTATGGTTTTGTCATGTTGTATATCTTCATTGAACTGCCTACCTCGCATAACAAAGTTCTAGTCATAGTAAACTAGTTTCAAGCCATTTGTTAATGTATACATGTTGTGAATAATGTTTAACGAATGGCTATCGCAGGAGACAGAATATTGCACCTAATAATTGGCCCCTTATCTATTCAGTCTTTTGAATGCCATGTTGACTGTGATAGTGAAGCCATTGATGCTCGTGTGGTTGCTCTGAACACGAACGAGTCACCTGTATGGGCATATTGTAAGCTAAGGTCGGTGACACGGAACCAGATTAATCGCGTTTTGTATTGGTCTTTGTATATTCACAGAAAAGGCAATGTGGAGAGTATTCAAGTCAGCACAGGGACCGGACGCCTGAAGGTTGGGGCACGATCAAATAACACAGGGTTGTGAAACCTGAGAGTTTGTATGGCATTCGTTGGGCTGTCTCCTCCTGTGTAAAGTATGGTGGCTGAATATTGCCATCTCGTGCAGTTGAATTGCAACAAGCAAACACTTACTTTTTCAAGAACATTATGTGAGTGGCGGGTGTTACTTGGTGTCATGACCAACGACCATAGGTTTCTGGCACACAGAATCATTTATAAATTAAAGCAACAAAACCCTTTCCACATCCAACACAAATCTCTGTATCAAGCACAGTCGATTGCACATTTCCGACTATATCATGGGCATGTGTTTATGAATCACTGTCAAATGAGTATAATTTCAGGTGTTTGCTAAAAGGTGAGCGTATCCTGAACCACCGGCGGCACTCGTCACAAACACATGCAAAGCAAATCAACTGTTCACCTAAAAAAAATAGGAACATATAGGACAAGTCAAAATAGGGAACTACCCAAGACATCATATTTGTCATTGATGCGTCAAATTTGGAAATGTCCTCCACATACCTACCATACCTTTTGGAAATGTTGTTACCTTGATCATCATTGGAGAATACAAAGTTGGGTTCCTAAAAAAACATTCCACTGCAGATAACATATTCATTTTACAGTCGTTAGTACAGAAATACATTACCTGTAAATAACGTAAATTATACTGTGCTTTCGAAGACTTTAGGAAAGCATTTGATATGGTGAATAGAAATAAGTTGATGTTTTTACTATTAAACAATGGTATTCACAGTAAATTCATTAGAGTTATTCAGAGTATGTATATGTCTATAGTTTTTTACATGCTCCGTCAGTGAACGACAAGGATACACTCTCAGTCGTTTACTTTGTTTCATTTTTTATTGAGTAATAAGTGGAATTTATTGGTTCTAGGCTAGACGGAGGCGTGTTCATATGAGAGAAAATGTATAACATAATTTTTTGGTTATTTGCAGATGATTTGTTACTGGTAGCAGATTCTACTAAGAAGTTACAAAGACGATTGCAAGAATACTGTGAAAGAAAGGGAATGGAAATATACGCACACAAAACTAACAATATTGTATTCAGAAATGGTGGCAGACTATCTAGATACGAAAGATGGACATATAATAATGTACCACTTACGACTGTTAGCTCCTATAAATAGCTTGATCTCATGATAACTCTTCAGCTAATTAGGACAGCGACTTGTAATATCTTTACCAAACAGGCACGTAAAGCACGCTATACCATCAAATCGTTTGTGCTTAAATACATCATATATGTTAATAATGCCTTTCAAATATTTGACACAAAAATAACACCGATATTAATGTATGGTAGAGAGCTAAAGGGATACAATAAAAGAGAAAATATAACAAAAAATGTACATAGAAAACTTTGTAAAAATGTGTTAAATATAAACTATTCTTTGAGTGTGGCAGATATCCGCTCTGTACACAATGTTATGTCATATGTGTCAATTACCGGTCACGCGTTTTATCTATGCCCACACACAGACATCTGGACTGGTGTTTACTTATGCTATATGATACCTGTGACAGGAAATACTTCGATTGGGCATCTCATATGAGAAACCCAAGCAGTTGGTGATGAAGAAGCATTTATCTTTGTCCTGAAACAACGTATCCTTGACTGTACGAAACAAAACTGGCATTGACTTCTCACAGATAAACGATACCTTATATATCATTCAACCGTGAAATCAGAACTTCGGTTTGAATCGTACGTAAATATGAATGTACTGAATTACAGAAACGCCTGGTTAAAATGTTGAAGTGGATGTAATATCTTTGGTGTTCAAAACACATGTGAAGGTAATGTAGGTGATGAAGACTCTCTTCGCTAACACACTAAATGTCTAGAAGATGAAAAGCACGTTTGTTGTGTATGCACGTACTCATTGTAATGTCTTAACAGACAATCAACCCGCTGTATGATGTTAATAATTAATTCTATAATACTTGAGAATATATTTCGTCTGTCAAAATATATGTATATTGTTTAAAAAATTCGAAGGGAATATAATGTTATTCAATACCATGATGCAAGTACAATGTAATATAACAGTATGATATATATATGTATGTACTATGGGTCATATGGCCTTGAAACAAAAACTGTTTCATTCACTGATGCATACACATTCGGAATAAATCCGTCATTAATAACAGACTGGGTCCTCATCTGCAGTACCTGTGTCAACAAAGGTTACTATACTTGGAGTGTTACCTATTCACTCAAGCTGCAACGCGATTGTGGCCTCAATGTTTACTCGGGTGTATTTATAAACGAGGAAGTAAACTACACATTATGAGGTCTCACCTGACAACCCAGGTATAGGAAAACGTATTCGAAGAGGGACAGCCCTGACAAAGGTGAGACAATGTATTTGGTCATGCTCCACACACACACACACAGTTTCTAATAGTTTAACCAGTGTTTAACAAAATCTAGACTAATTTGCTTGTGTATATTTAGCAGCATGGATACATAGCTTCCCATTGACAACTGCTTACATCGATATTAAACCACGCCACACAGCACAGATAAGATAGTGGTATATATAACTAATATTAATCTGTCATGTGAGTCAATAACTCCATTGGTTTAAGATGACTGCAGTCAATGTTTTTGTTGTAGTTTGAAATAGGTCGACATTATAGTAGTCACGTGAAAGGACTCACACGGGGCCGAGTGAACAATGTTCCAGGTACGGAGACCGGCTCTGTCCTCACTACAAGTCAGACGACGATTTTTATTATCGTTGACGTTGTTGGTGGTGATGCGGCGGCCATAGCCAACGCCACAACTAGCCCCTGTGTGACCCAAGTCCCAGATATATATATGAGATCAGGACACCTAAGGAGGTGTTAAATGACAGTTATAAATAGCGCTGGGGATGAAGGTTCCTGCCAAACAGGGGCTTATGTTTTGGAGGGCATATGCCGAATGTTTGCTGTGAACATTAAATAGACAAATTTGGTAGAATGTCGGTGCACTGAAGCAATTAGGTATTCATTTTGGTGTTTTGTTTACATGAAATATTAAAGAAATCTGTGGTTTCCACAATGACAAATACATCAAATTGATTTCCCTCTCGTATATGCCAACTGACTTTATGATGAGCTACTCATACACTTGATCCGTTCAGCAATACGTAGATCCATGAATATCATCAGAAACGTTCATCTTTCACACGCGACACCAGATTGAAAAACGATATATGCACATATTTCATCAAGTAAAATAAATCAGTCACACTTCTCCTAATTCAAGTTTATACACTTATTGAGTTTTAGTGTTTTAAACCCGCTTTCAGCAGTATTTCAGTTATATCAGGGCATGTCAGCTCACAGTGATCCGACGTGATGTAGATATCACAATGTACCACTTAAACACCACGAACACAGAATAAGAACGAATTTTGGATTCGAACCCATCATTAAAGGATGCAGACATGCTCACTTAACACTTTTACAACTTGAAGATATCTGCCATTTAAAGAAGTTATGAAGATAATTCATTCATACGCACATGCAAGGTCTCTATTCTTGGAAGGCACAGGTTAGCACCCTATCAGATCATAACTAAATATGTAAGTCTCGAGATCGAAATGTGCTTTATTCTCTAACAAAATATGAATTACCCTTTCAGAACACTCCTATCAATGGCGTCCCTTCCTAACGCAGCAACGTTTTTGCTTGCAGTTAGCTTCATGAAAGGTATGTCAGGCTTAAACTTAAAAGACCCACTGCACACGTATTATCAATTATAATTGTTTTGAAACCCAACATGCATTCTCTCTAGAGTAAATTCGAGAAAAGTCTTATGTGAGAGTGTTCCGTGTTTCCGTGTTTAGCTCCAGGTGTTGATGGGGCAGTGACAGTATCCGGGTCAGGAGGTACAGGGATACCCAACCAGCAGGCTCTGACACTGAGATGCAGCTACACTGTGACATCAGGGGATGTTGTTACTTCATTCGCATGGAGGAGGCTGGAGGGCAACTCCGCAGTGAACATAGTCTCAGGTTCAGTGACTCCCCAGACAGCTATATTCCGGGACTCCTGGGGGAACAAGGGCGTGTTTGTTGGTGACTACACCTCCTCCCTAGACATCCAGCTGCCTGCCAGTCACGTGACATCCAGCTATGCCGGGACATATAGTTGTCAAGTGAGTGGACTGTCAGATACTGGGCGAGTTGATGTCACTGCCTCTGTGTTGGGTAAGTATATGATGGACATTATTATGGATAGAAGGGTCAAGGTTGACCTCCAGGATTACATGGACTGTGAGATACCAGATACATAGATGTCATTGCCTTTGCCGTGGTGTATGTATGTTATTATGCATGTACGTGTGTGTGTGTGCGTGTGTGCGTGTGTGCGTGTGTGTGCATTGGTATTATAACAGAAACATTGTTGATGACATTTGCCACATATATGTCCAATTTATGTCTTTAAGTAGCATGTTATGTGTACACAGTTATCATTGTGTAAGTGCAAGAACTGTTTTATTGTTGTGGGAACTGAAGGAGCTGTATTCATATGAGAAACAACATGTGAAATGAATATTCGAACAAACAGGTGTTCCATCAATATCTGGCCTGCCGTCCAGAGTGATCGAGTCATCCCGTCTCAGTGTAGACTGTAGTACCTACACCACACCAGGCAACCCTTCAACAACAAGCTACACCTGGACCTATGGTGGTTCTACTGTCAGTACTGGGGCTGTACTTGATAGAAGCAGAATCAGCAGGAGTCAGGGAGGAAACTACACCTGTACTGCCAGCAACAGTCAGGGATCAGACTCGGCCTCAGTCAATGTGGATGTACAGTGTGAGTAATTGCAAAATCTTCTCCAAAATGTAATTTATTATGATATTTCTACTAATGAATACAATTATTATCATTATTGTATAAGTTGTATTTTGAACAAATCATGCCATAACAGTTTACATAACAGAGCGTTAGGAGTCATGCATGTTTTACTGTAGAATAACCAGTGAATTTAAATGTATATTGCTAAAACAGCAGTCATTTCAATATCGCTTATGGATTTTAATTTCCACCTTTCAGATGCTCCTTCTATGTCTGGACTACCAACAGCGCAGAATGTCACAGAGTTCTCTAATCTAAGGATAGACTGTAGTACCTACACCACACAATGCAACCCTCCAACAACAAGCTACACCTGGACCTATGGTGGTTCTACTGTCAGTACTGCGGCTGTACTTGATAGAAGCAGCATCAGTAGAAGTCAGGGAGGAAACTACACCTGTACTGCCAGCAACACGCTGACACCAAGTGGGGGATCTCAACAACAGGGGACGGCAGCAGCACAGGTCAATGTGAACGTTCAATGTGAGTCACGGATTTGCATGTGAATTTGTTACAGACAGACTCATAGGATACCAAATCCACATTTCGTATTTTGTTTCAAAGGATTATGATCCGTCTGTGACCTGGTTTGACAGTATCTCTGTTTAAATCAGAAGCTGAGGAAACAGTATTTGTAGTTATGTAACAATATGGCAATTACAATATCTAGGTTATCATGGCTACCAGTAGCAGGTAAAATACATGTATAACAATCGTGTTTACTATGTAGATGCAGACAATTCACTCATTCACAATCCAAATTACTCACAAGTCTCGTCACGGGCGGCAAGAACTCTCAACCATGTATGGTGAAATGCCGTATGCTATGGTGCCTAACAAACTGTCAAGCACTTTTAAATTGTCCTAAGACAACTCAGAATGACCGCACTAGGATAACAACAGTTCTTTTGTGTTCTTGCTACCATAGGGGTCACGGGTGGCCCAGTCGTCTAAGGCGCCGCGATTCGCTGTGCAGAGTTGCGTCCCTTGGGCGCGCCAGAAACCTATGATTGTGGGTTCGAATCCCGGTTCGCCCCGATTATGTTTCTAGGTTTGTCAGCACCATACCCATGCTCGTGGGTTTCACCAAAGTGGTAAACGTCTAAGACCTGCATCATTTCGGGCTTTCCTCCCACATTAAGCTGACACGCCGTGATTTAACTGGAATACTGTTAAAAGCAGCGTTAAACCCAACTCACTCACTCACTCACTCACTCTTGCAACCATATGCACTGTTGTCTTTGATAAACTCCAATAACACACTCTTCAAAAAGAAGAAAGGCAAAGCCAGATTTGTTAGAGATAGGAAAATACATTTATACGGTACAAGGTATTGAGCCAAAATGTTGTGGAGAGAACACTTGGTGATTGTGGTCGGTACATAGGAAATTCCAAGGTGACAGTCAGCTACCATCAATAAGGCAGATGTCCCCCGTTGGAATCGATGGCGGCCTGACATCCTTCTGCCCATGGAAGAGATGGATTGCATGTCTTTGTTGTGATCATTTTGATCCGGGAAATTTGTCACTGATACATTCACATATTAAACATTAAAAAACAATAGTGATGGTTTACTCATATAGTAAGATTGTATGTAGAATTATTCTTTCTTATGGAAATGGGTTTGATGTCAAGTACAAAGATGTTCCTGTATTGCAATTTGAGCAGATATATGCTTATGTTACCTCTCCTTTTGATTAAATAGTTTATTCCGCGTTATAGTTGGTTGTTGTATGGCTGTCAGTGTAAACATGAAGTCACAGGTACTAAATGAAATTGTGTAATACATCCCTCGAGGTATGAAATAGTCATATTCAAATCTAAACTAGCGCTAGTATTGTGGTAAAAAAGTCCGTTGGGGAAGTTCGTTTCATAAAACCAGAGATAGACAGATCAACATGTTACAAATGTGTAGTACATTATCAGTGTCATTTTCAAAATCCTAAAAGGGTATCTGTAGATATGCTACATTTAGTTTCTTGCGGCTTTTCTAGGGTACAATAGAACAAGGACATTCATATCCATATGCACTCTCTCAACACTTAAATGTGGAAGTACATGTGTTGAATTCAGTTATGGAACTCTTGTTTCTTTTCATACTAATCCATACACATGTCCACTCCAATGTAGAGACTGTACCCTACATGTCAATACTGTAATAGGTTATATTTTCAGATCAGGCCAGTATAAGTATGTTCACTGCCAACTCACTCAGCGGCACATTGACAGTGAACGAGTCTGATCCGGTGACCTTGAGATGCCACATTGATAGTAACCCAAGGTCAATCATCAGATTACTGAATGGAACTGATGAGTTGACAAGGGCAGATAACTCCATGACAGCAGAATATAGACTGGAGTCAGCAGACTGTAGACAAAGAGGGAACTACTCCTGTACTGCCACTAACAACATCGGGGCACCTGTCAGCCAGAGGGTGGAGTTGCTGGTCAAATGTGAGTAATCACTCAGCAGATCCAGTGTACTCACTGTAGAGTTGTAATTATTGCCATTTACTAACTTTTGCAGGCTGTTATTGAAAACAAATGTATTGGCTGTGTTAGGCTTGTATATTGTGTTCCCTTTTGTCCAATGTTAATTCTGCCTTGCATAAAATACAAATATCATTACTGGCATATTCAACTAAAAAGGTCAATCTCTCGTTTAAATGGATACAAAAATGCAAAAGATGATAATCTTGGAACTAAGGGATTATGCTCCGCCCAGTTGTCGAGCAAAGAAGGTCTGATTCAAGTCATTTATAACTCGCAATTTGTTTGGTCTTCTTACTGATATGTTATAATGCATACTAATCTAAGTACACAATTTATCTATTTGACACTGATACATCGTCTTTGTCTAAACGTGATATTCACGTGTTGCAACTATGACTACGATGGCTGGTCAAAAAGTTCTGAGCATGGTTAACTTTCCTCTAAGGGCTAAACAAAGTGAACAAATCAATTGTTTAATTGAACATTGTTTGTGTAGTTCATTGCATGTGTGTCTGGTCTGTTGAGGCCGGTTGTATATGTGTGACAGCCAGTTGAACGTGATAGGAGTCCAAATTGACTCATCAAAGGGAAAGATCGAGTACCAAGCAGTCATCATGTTTTTTACCTGAAATTCATGTCCACATGTCACAAGTGTATGGGGATAAGTGTGCTAGCTATACCACTGTTAAACATTAGGCAGCTTTGTTTAAGGCTGAGATAACAAACCTTGATGATGACCCTTGATCTACCTCAACGTACCTCAACTTACATCAATGACGATTCAATCAAGGAGATAGAAAAAAACACTTTATTGTCAGAAGGACGTATTACAATTGCTGAACTTGAGGCAGACTGAGGTCTGTGCCATGGATCCATTGAAACTATTATTCATGGATATTTACAAATGAATAAGTTCTAATTTAAAGGAAAGAGCAACTGACATTGCCAGAGAATATTTAGAGCTAACGAAGGAGGATTTCGTCAAATTCAAAAAGACATTAGTAAGGGGTGACTTGGGTCTACCACTATGATCCCAAGTCAAAACGTCAATCCATCGAATGGCTCCATTCCACTTCTCCAGCACAAAAGAAATTCAAGATCAGTGAGGAAAGTTATAACCACTGTATTCTGGGATGCAAAGGGTGTGATCTTTGTTTATTCCTTAGAAAGTCAAAGGCGATTACAGGTGCCTAATATGCTGACTTGCTTCATTGCCTGAGAAACTCTGTCAAAGAAAGCGGAGAGGAATGGTGACTGCTGGAGTTCTACTACTTCATGACAATGCGTCTTCTCACACCTCTCCACTTGCAAAGGCTGCTGTGCGACAATGTGGGTTCGAAGAGCTTCCTCACCCTCAATATTCGCCAGACATTGCACCAGTTAATGCCACTTGTTTCCTAAACTGAAAGAACATCTTCGTGGAAAGTGCTATGACGACAATGATGACCTCAAAACTGCCGTGATTTGTTTTTTTCCGGGTGGCTTCAGAAAATGTCTTCCTGACTGGAATTGAAAGCTTCACTATCGATATGAGAAGTGTATTGAAAAGCAGGGAGATGATGTTGAAAAATAAAATTAAAAACACATTTACAATGGTTGGTTATGTTTGTCTGTCTTAGAACCTTTTGACCAGCCCTCGTATATAAGGAACTGCCTACATTTTGTTCCGTGTTAGATAGGAAGATAGCGATATCATCTAAGTATGAAACCAACGAAATTTAATATGTTATCCTAATTATGTTTGGATTGATTAATATCAGAATACATTTAAGGTATGAAAATACGAAATAAAACAAGCATGAATTGATCAAGAAATATATCATTAACCTGTCAATCATTATGTATTTGTGAACAGACAGATTGAAACATTGAAATATTGTACATATGAAAACTTATCCAAGGTCAGATCAGAAAATTAACTATCACATTAAGGGTTCAGCTACGTTGCAAATTCACAAAGTAGAACTCAAACTTATTCCTAATGACGTAATCCTATCAGCAGCACCCGTAACTATTATACATCGGAAATGGCCATTGATCAAGTCAATTACAATTTCAGTGTTATAAGTCACATTCCCAACTTGCTGTTCTTTCACTCGTACAAGTGCGGACAGTTTATTATTCGTCATCGAATATATGTATAATCTTCAGCAAGTGTATTAATTGCCGCCTGTCTTGGTCATATAACCAGTTTCCCCTCGACTTGATGAATCAGTTCCCCAGCAACTCAAGTACGCCTCTAGACCGGGTGGTAACGTGAACGTGTCTGTGTCAGTCCTGGCCTTTCCCCTTCCTACATTCACCTGGAGTAGAACCAACAGCACCAGCCAGGACCTCACTGGTTCCTCCAGCCCTGTCTCAGACATCTCAGCCACTGCCAGACTACACCTTACTAACCTACAACAGCAGGACTTCAGGGACTACAGTCTGACAGTGGACAATCGTGTAGGCCGGTCGGTGGCATATACTGTCAGTCTAAAGGTCGAAGGTGAGCATCCAGTTCTTATTCGTACATTCAGTTTTCATATAATCCATTATTAATAATTACTACGACTATAGCCTATTTCATCAATATACCATTTTATGTGTGTTCTGAAAGTATGCCTTTATGGTATTACGTTGTTTTAATAGGGCCTCCGGGGACACCTACACAGTTCAAATCTCTTGAAAATGTAACAACGTCTTCGGTGTGGTTGTCATGGCAACCTGGGTTCAATGGTGGACATCCCCAGTCTTTCATGCTTGAATATCTTCAGTTTGTTACAAGAACGTGGACCGCGTACAACACGTATGATGACACTGGCAAGGTGAAAGTGGTGGAAGTGACGGGCCTAACGTCCGGAGATATTCACCTTTTCCGCCTGCATAGTAGAAATGCCTTGTCTAACAGTTCATCTTTCGTCATTGTGGAAACTGTGACTGCTGGGGGTAATTATCACTGACGTAGGATCTCAAATTATCATGATCAACAACATTACATGAAGAAAAATATGTATTTAAGCATCACATACCTATATTTTAGCATGCCTGTTTTTGTTGGGTTTTTTAACAGCACACTAAACAATGCCACAGGCAATGTTATTTAAACACCATATCTATTTTTGTAGCACTGCCCTCAACAATATTTCACTTATATGGCTGCAACCTGTAAATAATCGACTCTGGATCAGAAACTGAGTGTTTGTTATATGAGTAATAGTAAGTATTGTGGTGCGTCAACATTTCCTTGCTATGTGAAAATGAATGTGGTAATGTTTACCGATTTACTGCAAACCAGTAAGTACACGACAACCACTCGTTATACTTGATAACCCAGATCCTACAGACCATCAGCAACTCGATGCTACTTGTACAGAAGACATCGTTGGATCAACTGTAGGAACTCTGCTTCTTGCCTCGTTCATTGGAGGAATTGTTGTGATGGTCCTCTACAGAAAGGGTTTGATCAGGTTCGGACATGCCATGAAAGGTATATTGTGTATTCTCGGTAGTATTGTAAGTAGATTGATGCAGTAGTAAAAAAATGTTTGCAGTCAGAATAACATTTTATATTGACATTGCATATAATGACGAATGATGGTGATATGTATTGAAGTGGAATAATGTTACTTACTCAGCATGCCTAGTGTGGTATAATTGATACGTCAGTTGACCTAAACTTCAATATAATATCATAGAGTCGACAAGAACATATATGCATCTATACGTCAGTCCTGAGATGTTAAATATATCGAGTATATATATATATTTATTTATATGTATGCTTGTAAAATAAACGTTTACTTCTGACGCCTCTTTTGTCATTTTACTCTCCATAATCACCCTGTGCAGCATGTTCACTATACATACGATATATTCGTCATGTGTTTACTATTCAATACAATGTAGACATTCTTCATCTTTTACAGGAACTGCATCACAAAAAAGGTATTCCGAATGAATACATATTGCATGGATTTATAGGGATTCTCTCCTTCGTGTCTTCTGATATCAGTTTCGATTAGTGCTGATCTGTTCAAGAGACACCATGCAGATATCTGTTTCACCCCCTGTTTCACCCCATATGTCATTCTAAATTTATTAGTGATTGTGTACGTGCAAGGATCAATAAACTTTGCTTCCAAAAACATGACAGAGTCGCCAAAATTGTTCACCTTTTGACATAACTGACGCAGTAATAACTGAAGTGATCCATGCTTATCAAGTAATCACAACTTAGCAGCGATAAACTACAAATAGATAAATATAAATTGATGGAAAAATGTTAATGATCCTATCTTAATATCTAAACCTAACTGAAATGTACATGTATTTCAATGAACTGACCTGTCAACGTTTGCAGCACCAGTCGAGCTGAAGTTACAGAAATGGACAACATTGGCTATTCTTCCTTGGGTACGTGGTCGATGATATTACTGCTAATGATCTCACACTTATATCACAGTCTCTCAGAACTGATAGAATCTGTATTTGTTTAGATGCAGTCAACACTCCGGCTCAGTACACAAGTTTGGAGGAAAAGGCACAAGATAAACAAAATTACTCACAGCTGAAGATTTATGAGAACACGAAAGGTAAATGAGCCGTAACATTTATAATAGTATTGAATGTCAAGTATTGCAGTATGTTACTGTCAGATTGGTACTGACAGCATTGTAGGCATCGTACTACAACCAAATCCGAATTGAAACATGAAAATTAAAATATTACTTTATTTACACACATACTCTTCGGAAAAGAAGTAAAGAAGAAAGTCAGGAATACTCGAAAATAACTTACAGATTCCAAAGTTGTAAGAGGTATCAGTTTCTAGGATTAGTTGTTTCATTATAATGAACGAATTGTGAACATATTACACACATGTATGACAGTCGATGCTATGACTGCCAACGAAAGATCTAGAAGAACGATAAGGGTGAGATGGGAAATTTCAAAATTGACGTTTTTGGATCAGTAGTGCATAATACGGCCACGATTTGTCAAACATTCATTCACTCGACGAGGCATACTGCGTATGAATGTCCTAATGGCGATTTTAGGGAGTATGTCCCTATCCTCATGCAGGACCTGACCAAGTTAAGCCAACTTGGTTGGCGGCTTATAATGTTGACGCGCACATGTCCCTATAATGTCTCAGACGCTTTCATTGCTAGATGTTGTGATGCTGAAGGTGAACACTGACGATTCGTGCGCGTCGAACGCGGGAGTTGTCGTCCTGAAAGACAAAACGTCGACCCACACGCCTTGCAAACGGGACAACAAAGGGTGTCAGTGTGGTGTCCAAATAGTACTGTGCAGTGACCCTTCCTTGCACAATGTGTAGTGGGGTTCGGTCAGTCAAAGTGATGCCACCCCCCACACCAGAACCGATCCACCGCCAAATTCCCCATGAGGTCTCATGTTGACATGAACTTGACGAAAACATGCCACATGACCAGCGACGATTACCCAAGTTTCGACATTGTGTACACCATTGACAACTGTTGGCAATATGACGATTTGTAAGGGGCGGCACAACACGTGGCCGCCGAGCATGGAGCATGGAGCATGGAGCATCTGCACGAGCATCTATTTGTCTGACCCGTTACTCGTCCCTAGTAGCCTGGTTAAAATTTGCACAAATCTAATTTGCCGTTTGAGGTCGATTTTGTAGAGCCTGGTAGCGGATCAGTCGATCCTGTACTCTTGTACAGGGACTCCCTGTATGGGGTCGATCGTCAACATTTTCGGTTTGTTGATATCTGTCCTATTGTCTACTAATCACAGACTGTGAAACATTAAACATGTTGCCTGCTGCACTGTGACTTCTGCCAGTTTCCAGGATGCCAACAACCCGTTGACGCTCCGTGTGTTGCAGATCCCACGTCGCTATATCATACACAAACAATGAATGAAATCAAGTAAATCACAACTGTAAGATAAGCAGAATCAATCAGATTGACAGACGTAATGAAAGTGTCACAATCAGGAATGACACGCTACGCACGTGTGTGGGACTACTGCGTGCAGCACCTGCAGACTATCTGATAAATTTCATTATCCCCTACGTTTTAAAAGAATATGTATATATATATATATATATCATATAAACAATCATATATCTTCTAGAAGATGCTCCAGCAGATACGAGTACCTATGAAGGCATGGCAGAGACTCCCCCTGTGACCTATGAATCCATCAACGCATCTCCGGACCAGGACAGTGGCGGTCAACCTCGTGGTAATTAATCTTTGAATCTCGTAGCACTGTGACTCACTTTAATCTTACGTCATTCTCAGACTCTGTGCTTGTATGTTGTAGAATCTATTCAAAGGGGCGGTGGCGTTGTCAAGTGGTTAAAACGTGCGCTCGTCATGTCGAAGGCTCGGATTCGATTCCCCACATGGTGATAATGTGTGAAGTCCATTTAAGGTGTTCCCCGCCGTGATATTGCTGAATAATGCTAAAAGTGGCGTAAAACCATACTCACTCACTCACTCATTGTTTACTAATTTGAGTTGATATTCTCCCTGTTCCATTCAAAAAAAGTGAATAATGTTATATTATTTCGGTATATTGCGCTGAACTATGCTATTTATCGTTGTCTACAGTTGTTTGTGCTTTTAAATTGATTAGCAGTCTGGGAATGTATTATTATTATTGACTTATTTATTGCAATAAGTATTGCACGTGATCAGAAGTGCTCAATGGATGTATGCACAGTATAGGTATCTCATTTGTGTATGGCATGCACAACGGTTCTTACACTCTAGAAATGCACACAATTATAATTTGTACCATGAATGTGAATTACTCGATTCTGATCGGTCAATCACGGTATCAATTTATTATAGTGAGTGAGTGAGTATGGGTTTACGCCAATTTTAGCAATGTTCCAACAATATCACGGCGGGGGACACCAGAAATGGGCTTCACACATTGTACCCATGTTGGGAATTGAACCAGGGTCTTCAGCGTGATGAGCGAACACTTTAACCACAAGACTACCCGACCGGCCCACAAATGACTATAATCACCTTTCAATTGAAACAGCTGATTTGACGGTAATATCACCCTGGAAGCTATTATTAATAGAAAAGTTTTACCAAAGTGGTAAACGTCTGAGACTTGCATCGCCTCCGGCTTTCCTCCCACATCAAGTTTACACGCCCTTATATAACTGGGATACTGATAAAGGGGTGCTAAACCCAACTCACTCACTCAATCACTCACTTACTCACACTATTGACGAGCAGTGTTTTCTTTAGAGGAACAATGTGTACAATGCGAGTGACATATTACGATATAAAATGAATATGTTTGTGCAAATATAGCACCATATTTTGTTTAAGTGATATTATCGGGGTTTCCATAATTCAGATCGACAACTCACTCAACCATTGGATGCAACCAGTGCCGTTTCATTCAATATCATTGCTAAGACCAAGGCGTTTAATATTGTCATGGTTACACATTATGTGTATCTGCTAATTACCTACATGCATTTTACGATGTTTTCTGTTCTTTTTCAGATGCTGACTATGGAAATATGTGAAGAGGCAACAATCCATGCTGTGGCATCATCTTTGCAGTAAAGGATCATGGAACACTTGATGTGGTGCTTTGCTTGGATATATACACTCAATCATACTTGTTAACTTTATCCAGGACAGGGAAACCATTCACATTTGTGTAGCTGTTGGTTCACCCACGTAAGAGAGGGATACTCAAAGCATGTTGGCATTTGATCATGTCTGTTTACATGTAGCATTCCTCTTTCATTGTGAAATTCAGATTACGTGAAAAGTACATGTTTACATGATAATGTAATACAAGTCTTACTTTATAGATTAGATTGATATAAAAATAGCTCAATAAAACTATAAACTGATTATAGACGACGGAGTCCACATAAATATACACCTGAAGTTTTTCGCTTTGCTTTATGCTGATGATACAGTGTTATCAGCTTCTACTAATGATGATCTGCAGTAAGATCAAGTTAGATGTATTTAGTGAATACTGTAATCATTGGAAACATGTCCGCCATGACATAACACAATAGGCCATTTTAAACTCCAGATTATGCTATGAGATTATGCTATAGCATTGAGTGAATTAAGTTATGTTCTGTTGTTGATCAGATTCTCAAGTTGTATTCTATCCTCCATCACGGGCTGCTTTGAAACAAATGTTGACCACTCGAACAAATCACTATCTAGATGTGTAAGCTTTGATCGCCCACTGCAAGGGTTTATACCGAATAGTTAATTGCCTAATCCAGGAGACACTGTGATTGGGCAGAGGGTTTCCCATTCTCAGGGATTATGCAAAATGTTGACTATTGTGGTTTTGAACACGAAATCGATAAATGTAAATGTATATTATCAGTCAAGATTAATGATACAAAACACACGCACACGTAATATTTGTTTTAAATTTACTTTCTGAATATAAATATCACCTGACAATTGAGTCAGTGCAGTAGGAAGTGAAATGAGGTATACAGAAAAGGAGTTGGGAGAAGCATGATAGACGATAACTGCACCAAACAAAATGTCAAACATTTATAAAATAAATGGCATTGTTAGGCTTCCATAACATCTCAATCTGACCTATCAAAATAGGTTTCCTCACTTTAGTGAGACCTGCAAGTACCACGCCTAATGGTCCAGCAATAGGATTTGGAATCACTCCAACAACACCTATTGTTGCAATGGATATCGACCTGTCCCAGGAATGTCGACTTCTACTGCTTTATTTACGGTGGAACAAGAGTTTTGTAAACAGACAAATATACAGGGTGTACAATATTGATATTGATATTGATATTTTTTTCAATTAACATTTTGTTAAATGAACTAGTTATTTGTTTAAGAAGATGATTGGCCAAATGACTTATTTATATATTTGAAAACAAACTTAGGAATGCTATCAAAAGATGTAATGGAATACATCAGCAATGGCTTGGGTGTCACAGAGCTTAAAGCGAATTAAATTAGCAAAGAGGTAGGGTATCTCTTACACCTCCTCAGCACAGATCCCCAACACGCCTTACTCGCCTCCTGTACATGGATGACTTTGAATTAGTTGCCAGTGGAGGATCTACACTCAAAAACAGATTCTCCTTGTCGAATCCTTTTCTAATGATATCGGCACGTTCTTTGGACTCGACAAATGCAACATTCTTCCTCTGAAATATGGCAAGGTAGAAGAGGAGGCATCAGTCACTTTACTTTGGGGATGTACGTTGCTGTGTCAACTCTAAAGTATATTAACAAGAAGAGTGAACTTCTAATAAACCATCTTCCCTAGGTCCATTAGTTTTCATACAAGAGCGCGGCTTCCGGTGGTTGGCCATGTGCTGTGGAAGGGAGGTAACCCCAGCTGGAGCTGTATGGCGCTTACCTCTAGTTAAGATATATATCTACTGGGGAGGAGTTATTGACGATGTCGTGGAAGGTGAGGCCTAAACGTACTTAGGGAAGCAGTTTAGGGACAAACAGAATGCCAATATCAAGCTGAACGATCGCAATAAAGTTAAAACTACAAACACTAATGCTGTATCTGTCCTTTCATTTTCTTTTGGTGTTGTTTGATAAATGAAAGAAGAAATTCAGGTTATTGACGAAGTCACACGAAGAATCATGTCAGACAAGAGATCTCACCACCCTCGCTCATTCCTCAACTGCTTACATTTACCAATCATAATGGCAATCCTATTTGGTGTATATAATGAACCAAATTAAAAACTTCACAATCGTAAAATTTTAATATTTTGACCAGTTATCATTGTGGGCCCTTATTGTGTATTTAAACAGTAATGACCACGTATTGTCTTCAGATAACACCCGTTTTTGTGCAGGTGAATCGATCAAAATCATGTGCACAGCACTATAGTGGCAAAAGTGTTATTTCACGTGCAACTGGTCACGTGGCCATAATACCGCACGTGTTTTCAGCCATACTGGTTAGCAGTCATTAACAAAAAAAGAAAAACACATGAAAACAAAAGTCTTTACGGCCCTTGGTCATGCCACGCCTTTCAAATGTGCAACGTGAACGTGCCATCGGCATGTTGCAGACGGGAACGTCCGTAGCTGAAGTCGCAAGGACGATGGGTTGTAGTCGACGGACTGTTTATGATTTACAGACGCGTCTACAGCAAACGGGTACCACCGCTGATCGCCCTCGGCCAGGTCGATCACGTGTGACGTCACATGCAGAGGATCGTCAGATTGTCTTACGTCACCTCCGTAACCGATTTTTGACAGCTACATCAACCAGAATTGAACTGTTTAGGGGTAAAATGAGTTCGCAAACTGTTCGAAACCGTCTGAGAACTGCTCACCTTCAAGCACCACGATCATACTGCGGGCCGATTCTGACTCAATTACACAGACGTCAGCGTCAATTGTGGGCACAGCGACACTTATGATGGACTCAGAGGAATTGGAATCAAGTCATCTTCAGTGATAAATCCCGATTTAATCTTCGATTTGCTGATGGTAGGGCAAGGGTGTGGAGGCGCCGTCATGAACGTTATGCCCAGTGTTGTGTACAGGAAGTTGACAGATTTCGAGGCGGAAGTGTCATGCTGTGGGGTGTTTTCTGTGGCAATGCACGTTCCAGGCTTCTTGTCATCCGTGGCAACCTCAATGCTGCTGCTAACCTCAACCAGGTACTGGCGCCCAAACTTCTGCCTTTTATGGTAGCACATGGACCAGGTTTTATCTTCCAACACGACAAGGCCAGACCCCACACAGCAATTTTGACAAGGAATTTCCTTCAGAATGCGGGAGTCAACGTCACTGACTGACCGTCAAGGTCTCCCGACCTCAATCCCTTCGAACATGACTGGGTTGCTCTTGGCAGAAGTCTGCGCACTCTCCAGAATCAACCACAGAATTTGCAAGATCTTTGCATCATTTTGCAGCATCAATGGCGTCGTCTTCCCAATCATGTGTTCACAAGCATCACAAGGTCCATGCGGAGGCGTTGTGTGGCAGTTGTCAACGCAAATGGTGGCCATACATGCACCTGAACTTGTGTGCCATCAAATTCTCGTGCTTGGGATTTAAACTGTTGATGTTATTACCGAATACCGTACGTGTTTGGAACAAATTATGGTTACCACCGTTAATTACAATCCTTTTTTGGACATTAATGATTAAAAATTACCTTCTCTGATACATTTGTCCGTTGTATATCATATATGGGATTACTTTTAAAATATGTTTTTAATTTGACTCAGTGTACAACTAGGCTTCAAACATTGATCTTGATAGGGCTATAGACTGGCAATCAGTTGTTAATAGTAACATGCAATATAAGATCATAGTAAAACTAATTCCATGGTGAATTTCTCATTAGTCCTCTTAAACTGATTGGCCACATCACTTTCCTTTTTAGGTAATATCAACAGCCGTCCCTCTATGTAAATGTTTTGAGTTGCCCGATATCTGACCATTATTATGTATCATATCTAGTTTTCCTCGTTGAACTATGATATGATTGAATAAGTTTATTCAGCTCTGAGTTACATTCCCTGCCATTCAGGTTCACAATGGTGCATGTGATTTGATATATCACGCTAGTACTTAACATTGTCTGTTGCATAGGTCTAAAACTTGAACAGCTGCAGTCAACGCTATTTAGAAATTCACATCTGTGTCTGCAATATGAAAGACATTAACGAACACGATGTACGGTAACTGGGTATTGTGAAGAGAGCAGTAAGTGCCTTGCACAGAATGAGACGACACTTATCATTGAACGCTGTTTTGTTCGAGGAGTTTCTAGAGTTTAGACATTTAATGTTACAACAATTTTAATGGATGTGTTCTTTTGTTTTGAAACTGAAAGTAAGTCAGAAATATTCCGATTCCCAAATATGTGAGTTTCTGGAATTATTGACTGACAATATATGCTCTACAACAAAAGAATCGCGAATAATATACATGAATAATTACGCATATGCAGTAAATATTACTTTGGTTCGATGCACAAACGAACATAGACGTCATAGATCCATGACCCGAGATGCAACACATTTCTTGTTCAGGATTAGAATGTATAGTTTAGGAATCATGCTCAGGATATTGTGATAAGAATAGAGATATTCTCTTCTTAACGTACATACAGATTATGTATTTCTCCACCTACAAAACTGGACTGACGTGGTCAAACAGAGAGATCGGCCCTGCCCGGATTGCATGGCTTGGCGTGACGTTGGCTACGACTGCTACATCACCAACGACTTCGTCGACAATGTAGAATCGCCGTCCGACTTCCTGCATGCGTAAAATTGGCGGATACGCATAAGTGTAAGTGGCAATTCGGGTCCGCGTGCGTCCTGTCGCGTGATTACCATTACAATCTAGATCTTGTTTTGACCTGCAACAATAGATATGGCTGCTGCCGTCTAAAGCTGCACCCCCCTTGAGGTTTTCTTCCGTCATCCACCCTGCGCTACCAACCGAGGGCACCAAACGGTGCTCTTGGACAACATGTCTAAAAGTGTATGAGGCGCAGGGCAAGTCTATACTGCACTGCACTCTGAAGTCTATTTCTTGGTCACCTTCCTAAGGTTGAACAGTAACCGTTATTCTATTTAATGTAAATACCAAGAAACCAAGAGTTTTGAAACGGATTGTGAATCATTTACGGGAAGAATATTTAAGCATAAATAAGTTTAATGTTGTAGATCATGTGATTATCATATGCGGTCTTAGAGTTTATGTTGTGAAAACAGAGTTCAACACTCTACCATAATCAGCTGATGCCAGACCGGGTATGCTTTCATGAATAATAATTCAATTTAATAACACAGATGTATATTTTCACGTTTTTAAATGACGGTTTTTAGTGTTTTTTTACTGGAAAACCTGCTTTGTACTTTACTCTTTTCCCTTTTTCTGATATAGTTAATGATCTCGTGTCTATTTACCATAATTTCAATTCAGTTTATCTTGTATCGGATGCAATTTCTGTCTTACTTTTTTTTCATTTTGAGTAAATGATTGTATATCCAACAGTGATATTTCAAACGATAAAATGAACATAAAATGTGAACATTTGTGTACCTGATTTTATACAAAGTTAGATCAATTGCCTTATATCTACAAAGATGTTTATTGT